CCATCCTTTTGATGGGCCTCCAGATATAACGCTCAACGCACTTTTAATAGTCTATTTTGAAAACCCTCACTTTTCTATCCCTTCCGAGTTTTTCTTTATTGATTCTGCTTCTCTATATCACCTGACAGCCGATCATAATTGGAATCACAAAAAATTGCGCTCTGTCCTCCCACATCTTGCATGCGAATGATTGCTAGTGTCATTGTACTATATTAACCTTCACCATCTTGAAGTATAACGTATGAAAGCAACTAGGCAGATTGCACGAAAATATACTGAATAAAGTGGGATTGATGAATCATTTCTGCCTTGGAAGTTCCTGAATTTTAGCGCTCATATTTTGATACTGCTTGTATAGGGGTGACACAATGATTATCTTTTGATCCCACATGCGAGGCGTATTATGTCTGGTGGTTTGATTAGCTGTTAAGTGCAGTGTATTACATTGCTTTACTCTTACATCATTTCACTTCGTTTTAAGTGAAACTGTCCATTCAGATACCTGTGCCATCGTGGTACGGTTGGCAATACGACACTCCTGGTATGCAAGTAGAGAGTGGTCCGAATCAACTGCTGACAGGCGCAAGCAGTTGTGATGTTACGGTGATCGCGAATAACTACGACCAGTCTACCCATCAGGGAGACTCGTTTCTTGGTAAGCAATAATTACCACGCAAAATCACTGAATGAGAGCAATATTTCATAATTAGGAGCGAACCTGTTGCAGTGGCAAATTGCGCATGCTATCACATGCGTGGATCGGGGGTTGGATCGTGGACTGGAGTCTGATTAATGAGCAATTGATTTTACCGTTCGCGGGCAAATGTTTTTACACCGTGTATAGTAAGCGGAAATAAGACCTATATCTTCAGATACTGTACGGCCTATAAAATGTAATGGTACAATTAGGCAGACAGATTAGGGAGCGCACCGCGACGACAGTGCCTAAATTGTCGACTTGGTTGCATACTTTGGATACCGGTCGGTTAGATCGTCCCGAAAACAATTGTGCTTATAAATGGTATCACCTCAGAAAAGATTTAGACTATTTGTGAAGTTGCAATATAGGGAGGAGGGGGGTTGGAATTGGTGGTGATGTAATGTACTTGGTAACATTATTAGAGTTGCTGTGCAATACTGCTAGTATACTAGCAGATAAGCAGCTGCCAATCCAGTCGAATAACAACAGTTCTATACAAAACATTTTTAATTACATTCATTACAATTATTTATGAATGAAATGACACCTTCAGAACTGCNAGTGCCTAAATTGTCGACTTGGTTGCATACTTTGGATACCGGTCGGTTAGATCGTCCCGAAAACAATTGTGCTTATAAATGGTATCACCTCAGAAAAGTATTTAGACTATTTGTGAAGTTGCAATATAGGGAGGAGGGGGGTTGGAATTGGTGGTGATGTAATGTACTTGGTAACATTATTAGAGTTGTTGTGCAATACTGCTAGTATACTAGCAGATAAGCAGCTGCCAATCCAATCGAATTACAACAGTTCTATACAAAACATTTTTAATTACATTCATTACAATTATTTATGAATGAAATGACACCTTCAGAACTGCCTTTCGTTTTGTGCGGCGTTCAGGTGGCTGACTTCCATGTATGCCTTGCATCGGCAATCCTCTGTCTGGTGCCAAACTACATAGTATACTTCGCAATGACGTACAAGTGTTACGGCTAGGCACTGAGGCGCTCCTCGTGTTCGTGGTTGCGGTGCATGCGTAATCTCTTCAATTCGTCGCATGCAGTCATTCTTTCGATCTTGCTCTCTCTTGACTTTGTTCACGGCATCCATTGCAATATCCCGGCATCCATCGATTTCACACCATTGAATACTATGTTGGTTGACGAGATGCCTGAGTCCTAATGCCACTTCCGTTATGTTGGCCTCGGCTGAAACAGTTATGCATTCTTTGTTGTTCACATAAAGCTCCGCTTTTGAAAACAGTGTAGTATTCAAACACTGTTGCTCCTTCGTTCGGAGAGGAGGAAAGGAGAAAAGGAAAGGAAGGAAGGGAAAGGAGCACTGCCTTCGCACCTCTCCGTGGTTGATGTCTGATGAGAGCATCTGCTATTTTTCTCGATGGCGAAGATGGTTCTCTTTGAATAGCGAGTCTTGTTCCAGCTGCCAAAGAATCGTTATTTCGGTGTCGTGAAGGATGACTGGAAGCGTATGGTTTCAGTGAAATAACTCGACTGATTGGTCGACGAACAGTTTTTTTTCTAGTGATTATAGAAGCATGGGCCTCGAAAGTTTGAGTTTCCTCATCCCTGCTTTCATCTAGACCATAAATAATCGCAATTTTCCACTAACCTCTCAGCAATTGTAAGTCGTCACCAAGAAATACCACGTCACGAACGAGAGGTTAATAATATGGAGATCGTTTCTTCAATACGATGCATTATGACAATCAAGTGAATCCATTCCCAACTAGCATCAAAACTTCTGCGTGAGTTCCCGGTCACTGAGATATGTAGCTAGTTTGCCACTTCCTGAGGAAGAAGGGCGGGAAGAGATTGAAAATTCAGATCGCGGTTATCGTGATCCTTTGGAGTTAGCTGGGCAGTGCCCTATCTTTTTCGTGATATATGAAGGCAATAGGGAGCAAGGCTCTGTTTGGCAAACGTATTCTCCAACAGTTGAAACTCATCTCAATCTAAAAACCTATCTATGATTCAGTTTGAAATAGGTGTAAATCGGGTAATTATGAGTTTTTAACTTTAGTTGGGTTTGATTTTATGCATAATATAGCTTTGAGAGACGAAATTTATCAGCCTGCACTGGACGATTTAGAAGGTGGTTTTGAAAGGTTGTTGGCCGAACCCGACGAGAATAAAATTGAAAAATAAATTTTTCCAAGCTATGCTTTGAAGGTGTTTTGAAGGTGTACATATGGGGGCTACGATTTACTCAAGATTCAAGATTTACATCGGTAGTCAGCCCACGAGCAAGGATTCAGCAGCTGTGTTTGCTGTGGTCATGACAAATGGACGGACTTTTGAATCAAGGATACATCTCTATACCGATATCTAGTGAATGACTTATTAAAACTTAGCACCCTTTTTCCGACACTCGAAAATGCGAAAAGGAATACTAATTCAAGTTGGAGATAGGCAGTTAAAAAGAGGGCAACTTTTCGAGAAATTTGTTACAAACAACTAACTCGAGCTTATCGAAGTGTTTATGCTCCCACAAGACCGGTCCATCCTAGGGGCAGTAGATGTGGAAGTCATTTTTACATTCACTGTTTTCAGAAATGCAGAAAAAGTGTGATTTTCAGGGAGAGAATGCACTTTATTAGTAATTTTCAGCAATTAGCAATGTTTTTTTT